TTTTTTTTTTTTTTTTCTCTTTTTTGCTTGGAGAGGGAGAGTGGGGTGGGGGAAGCGATAACAGTAGCCCTTTTTTAAAAATATTAAATTTATCATTTTACCCCTTTCAATTTAGTCAAAATTGGTCAAAACTTATATTTATGGGTCAACTAACGGTCAAATGGATATTTAGACTCTAATAGCATAATGATTAAAGATTAGGGACTTTTACTAGCACAAAATGAAGGTTATGGTAAAATTTGCAAAAATTGCAAATGTTAGGAACCACTGCTATAATTTCCCTTATTTATACTTGAAAACTAATTTTTAATAGTGCTTCCTACTTTAAAGAAAGTTACTTTGGACTAATTTCCTCCGAAAACTATTTAAACTATCAAAAACAATTTTATAAAATTAGCCAAACATGTCCGAAAGTATCATTTTGTTCTCAAAAATTTCTTTTACTTTTTAAAAGTTATACCAAACAGACCCTTAATCAAACTCATCAATCACAGATTTAAGAGGATGTTTGGTTGGGATTAAAAATATATTTTTTAGTAAATTGTAATAGAGGTGTTTGAAATGTGTAGTTGAAAAGTTTTGAAATCTATGAAAGATGTGATTAATATTTATTGTTTTACTTTAACTTTGATTAAAGAGTAATACTGTTTAGCCGATTGGAATTGCAATTCAGGTCAAAGTGACGGCAATGTGGCATTGATTGATTGGTAAAATTAAATAAATTATTTAATTTCATCTTTAACTTAATCTATCATCTACCTAAACTGGGCTTGCAACTCAAATGAGGTTATATAGCATTACTCTATATTAAAATCAGATTTTAATCCAAACTTGTTCAGACTAACCTATAAATTACTATTCTGTTGTTTATGTTATTTTATTATTTAAAATGAAATCGTTAATCCGACATGAAAATTCCCAAGAATTTCATTACAGACCAAATTTATTATAACAAACACAAATTAAAACACCTGCAAATGCATACAACAACTGAAATTCAAGAAATTAATTAAACTAAATCAAGCCCCCAAATTCAAGATCCTTGAACGCCAGTTTCTTGCTGAACCTGAGTTTCACCCTCTTTGACCGGTTCCTTCGCGTCTCTAGCCTTATTTGCAATTGTCATTCTAGCATAATCCAGCTGATCCGACCCGGGTGGGTGTCTTCCGGCAACGTAATTGTATATCCACAATAATGCCGCCAGTGCCACCACCCCACAGCCACCGGCGAACAAGAATCCAGCAGTGACCAAGAATAGAACAATCCCTGCTGGGATAAGAATCGGACTGAACAGGACCAGAACCGGGGTGGCGATAATCAGGGCGACCACTGTCCCTGTTAAGGTTAACCCGGATAAACCGAGCAAAATACCTCCGATTGTTGCCGCAGTTAAGAATCTCATGGCTTGGCCTGAACTGGGGGACGAATCTTGGAGCCTTTGGGACGTGGGTTTTTGTTGATCAGACGACATGATGGCGGGTGGCTAGGATTCAAAGGTTTATTATGGAATGATTTGAGGAAAAAATGCAAGACCCATCAAATGTATATATATGCATGATGAAGTGAGCGTGGCGTGGGGTGGTGTGGGTGGGCAAGTGGAGGAATGGGTGACGACATTGACAACCTTGAGAAACGTGAAGGTTGAGGGGATGAAGAATGTTGTCGTGTTTGGAGCGGTGGCGTCTTTATCGTGGGAGGCAGAGGATTAGCCGTGTGGCAGAGGGATGGATACAGTAACGGCTTAGAATTCGAGCTTGAATTTTCAAGTGACAAGATGATACAAAATTCAGATAGGTTTATTCGAATATAATTGGACTTTTACCCCAGTTGCACTCCAGTTATCGAATTTCAATTTGAAAAAATCAAGTCATTTTATTTTTATTTGGAGCAATCAATTCACTTTCACTTGGATTCAATTATGTATTTATGAAGATTAGCTTACATGTCCATAAAAACTAATGAAAATACCATGTCGATTTCATATTAGCAGCATTGGAGGTCGCTGAACTTTCATCCTAGTTTCATTCGTGATACTGAAATTCAAATTTGGAACGATCAAGTCATAAATACTACATCGCACCATAGGAGTTATGGTAAATTTTCTTACATCATTGCTTCATAAACAATATTTTTTACCGAAAAACAATGGAATTCCGTACTCAAATTCAATCAATCATAAAATAACTTGATTGAAACTAAAAAACCAAAAAAGCAATTGATCCAATATCAAATAGAAATTCAATATTCTATCTAAATGAAATATGAATAGAGCAAAACACGGAACCCAACATAGTTTCTTCAGAAAATCAAAATCCACAAAAAGTATGATGCAATAAACGAGACTTGTAAAGAGATTTGGAAAATCCATTAGACACGAACAACACATGCAAAAGTTCTTGATATATAGGGCCAAGCATTGGATCACAAAAGCATTCCCTCTGTTTGTTGTTGTGCATCCATTTTCTGTAATATATATTCCCCGTATAATATTTTTTAACTTAGTTTTGCTCTATATTTTTTGCTTTATATTTTCCTCTTCCCATCTTCTATAGCAAATATGGATGTTTGGATGTATCGATGTAGTTATCACATAGATCTGAAATTTTTTCATATAGACACAAACTTGGCTAGGAGATTGTTTGTGAGGGGAGTTTGTTAATTCATAAACTGCTATTGTCGAAAACAATAATTAAACATTTTTATATCCTATTTTTGTGCCCCCATGACAATTGATGTGTTTGTTTCGTGTGGTTTGATCTACCAATTTTTGGTCGGGCAAAACAAGTGATTCGAGGTGAATTTAAAGCAAAGACGTGGAGGGAAGATAAATGAATCAGAAGCTCATGTAAAGACGCTCAAAAAAGATATTAGCAAACTACAGCTAGAGATGTAGGGCCTACAATTAGGGATTCGAGGTCTCCAAGCAAAGAACAAAGTATTGTTAGCAAGAATTGAGAATGTACAAATGACGACTTCAGACATAACCAGCTCCCATAGTGTGATGGACGATGTGTATGAGATTTGCAAATGAATTAATCAATGTATGGTTGACTAACAATTCCGACTTCATACAAGCGAGTTGCAGCATGCAATTCAAAAACCAAAAATGAAAGACATCAGTGGAGCTGTGTTTGGATTGGGTCATTTGCATACATGTTCCTTGTGTGGATCTTTTGGCTTTAGAATGTCCGTAATTTCATTAATTATGAAAATCGCAGCTTGGGATATTCATGCAACATATCCCCCTATGTTTGTTACCTTTATTTCTATATCAATTTTATGCCAAAAATGAAAATTAAAAATGTGAACCTAGTCAAGTGTTACATCGGAAGTAATGACAAAACATATATGAAAGATTCGGAACTAATGGTGATATTAAAATTAAAGATTGTGATGACAACGGATGATAAAAGTTAGATGACCTTCAATACCAACCCTTTTAAGCACAAAAAGTCAAAGACACCTCAGGCTCATTTGACGTGGCTTTTGTTTTTATTTTTATTTTCTATCAAAAAACTTTTGAAAAAGTTACCTTAATTTATGTTTAAAAACTAATTTTTAAAAAACTTTATATTCCGAAATTACTATTAGAGGAAACCATATTAGACAAACTTTCTCTAAAAACTCTTTTACTAGAATTAGCCAAAAAGATCCACAAACAACTTTTAAATCTTAGAATCTCATTTTGACTTTTCAAAAGTCATGCCAAACGGATACCTCATGTATTCATAACTTACGCCTACACAAAGCAACTTATGCTTTTTGATTTCAGAAATTCCTTTTAACTTTTCAAAAGCCATGTCAAATAGAACACATCATATATTCATAACTTATCCTTGCTTAAAGCGACTATAAGTCATTCAGTTAGAAACTCAAAACACATACATGAAATGATCTAGCCCAGAAACAAGATGACATACTGATTCCATTAACATAAAATGACGATTAGTTGTTTACAACATTGTCCTACGAGACAGAACAAGTGACAAAATCAACACAATGAAAAGTAAACACACCTCCCAAAGAAGAAGAATAATAATAATCCTGATATCATTTCCAAAAATAAATACAGAATTTATAAAAAAGAACCACTTCTATGAAGAAGCATATTTCAATTTTTGTGCTTCTTTCTACTGATATTTCCCTTGTAGCTGCTAGTACTTGCATTGTCACCCTTGGCAGTAGATTTTTTGGCCAATGCAAGTACTAGACTGCCTATTTTTGCTACCGATATTTCCCATGAATTAAATGATTCATCAATTAATTAAGAGTTATGCCATATATAAAAGGTTGTTTTTGTTTTTATTTTCTATCGAAAAACTTTTGAAAAAGTTACCTTAATTTATGTTTAAAAACTAATTTTTAAAAAACTTCATATTCGGAAAGTACTATTAGAGGAAACCATATTAGACAAACTTTCTCTAAAAACTCTTTTACTAGAATTAGCCAAAAAGATCCATAAACGGCTTTTGAATCTTTGAATCTCATTTTGACTTTTCAAAAGTCATTCCAAACGAATATCTCATGTATTCATAACTTACGCTTACATAAAAGCAACTTATTCTTTTTTATTTCAGAAATTCCTTTTAACTTTTCAAAAGCCATGTCAAACAGACACATCATATTTTCATAACGTATCCTTGCTTAAAGTGACTATAAGTCATTCAGTTAGAAACTCAAAACACATACATGAAATGATCTAGCCCAGAAACAAGATGACATACTGATTCCATTAACATAAAATGACGATTAGTTGTTTACAACATTGTCCTATGAGACAGAACAAGTGACAAAATCAACACAATGGAAAGTAAACACACCTCCCAAAGAATAATAATAATAATAATAATAATCCTAATTTCATTTCCAAAAATAAATACAGAATTTACAAAAAGGATCCACTTCTATGAAGAAGCATATTTCAATTTCTGTGCTTCTTTCTACTGATATTTCCCTTGTAGCTGCTAGTACTTGCATTGTCACCCTTGGCAGTAGATTATTTGGCCAATGCTAGTACCAGACTGCCTATTTTTGCTACTGATATTTCTCATGAATTAAATGATTCATCAATTAATTAAGAGTTATGCCATATATAAAAGGTTGTTTTTGTTTTTGTTTTTGTTTTCTATCGAAAAACTTTTGAAAAAGTTACCTTAATTTATGTTTAAAAACTAATTTTTAAAAAACTTCATATTCGGAAAGTACTATTAGAGAAAACCATATTAGACAAATTTTCTCTAAAAACTCTTTTACTAGAATTAGCCAAAAAGATCCATAAGCAGCTTTTGAATCTTAGAATCTCATTTTGACTTTTGAAAAGTCATGCCAAACGGATTCCTCATGTATTCATAACTTACGCCTACATAAAAGCAACTTATGCTTTTTGATTTCAGAAATTCCTTTTAACCTTTCAAAAGTTATGTCAAACAGACATCATATATTCATAACTTATCCTTGCTTAAAGCGACTATAAGTCATTCAGTTAGAAACTCAAAACACATACATGAGATGATCTAGCCTAGAAACAAGATGACATACTGATTCCATTAACATAAAATGACGATTAGTTGTTTACAACATTGTCCTACGAGACAGAACAATTGACAAAATCAACACAATAGAAAGTAAAAACACCTCCCGAAGAAGAAGAATAATAATAATCCTAATTTCATTTCCAAAAATAAATACAGAATTTATAAAAAAGAACCACTTCTATGAAGAAGCATATTTCAATTTTTGTGCTTCTCTCTACTAATATTTCCCTTGTGGCTGTTAGTACTTGCATTGTCACCCGTGGCAGTAGACTTTTTGGCCAATGCAAGTACCAGACTGCCTATTTTTGTTACTGATGTTTCCCATGAATTAAATGATTCATCAATTGATTAAGAGTTATGCCATATATAAAAGGTTATTTTTGTTTTTATTTTCTATCGAAAAACTTTTGAAAAAGTTACCTTAATTTATGTTTAAAAACAAATTTTTAAAAAACTTCATATTCGGAAAGTACTATTAGAGGAAACCATATTAGACAAACTTTCTCTAAAAACTCTTTTACTAGAATTAGCCAAAAAGATCCATAAACGGCTTTTGAATCTTAGAATCTCATTTTGACTTTTCAAAAGTTATGTCAAACGGATACCTCATGTATTCATAACTTACGCCTACATAAAAGCAACTTATTCTTTTTTATTTCAGAAATTTCTTTTAACTTTTCAAAAATCATATCAAACGGACACATCATATATTCATAACTTATCTTGCTTAAAGCAACTATAAGTCATTCAGTTAGAAACTCAAAACACATACATGAAATGATCTAGTCCAGAAACAAGATGACATACTGATTCCATTAACATAAAATGACGATTAGTTGTTTACAACATTGTCCTACGAGACAGAACAAGTGACAAAATCAACACAATGGAAAGTAAACACACCTCCCGAAGAAGAAGAATCCTGATTTCATTTCCAAAAATAAATACAGAATTTACAAAAAAGAACCACTTCTATGAAG